AAACCTAAAATTGCTATAAAAATAAAGTCTATTACAACAAACAAAAAGTCTATAAAAGGAATATCATAGATGGGAAAGAAGGTATGTTTTCAGGAAACTGAAAGAAGGGAAAGGGCTACAGCTCAACTAGGAGACAGAAGCAAGAAACATAGGCGGCATGTATTCGTCTGTTTCTGTGGTTTATAACAGAGATACCTGCAACTGGATGATTTGTAAGAAAACAAAATGTATTGCTTACGGTTTCTGAGGCTGGGAAGTCCAAAGTCCAGGGAACACATCCTGTGAAGGTCTCCCTTGGTGGTGGCTTCAGCAACACAGGGTATCACATTGAGAGAGAGAGCGGAAGCAGAGAGAGAGAGACTGATGTGCTCTCCTTTTAAAGACCCTCAAATTGTGGACCTACTAGTGTGCAAGTCAAGCTGGTGAGAGCTGAAGCATGGCCTCAGACAAGGAAAGCCATAGAAACGGAGCTGCCTGAGGACTTGGGGGCCCAACCCCCACACCAGTGTGCAGAGGACATTGAACATGGAGTCAAGGTACACGATTCTTCAGCTTTAAGATTTGATTCCTGCCCTGCTGGGTTTTGGACTTTCTCCATTTTTTTTTTTTTTGCCCTATTTCTTCCTTTTTGAACAGGAATATGTACCCTATGCTTATCCCGGATTGTATCCTAGAAGTAGGTAGCTTATTTTGATTTCACAGATGGGACTTTGAACTTTGGACTTTTGAGTTGAAACAGGTTTTTTGCCCTATTTCTTTCTTTTTGAACAGGAATATGTACCCTATGCTTATCCCTCATTGTATCCTAGAAGTAGGTAGCTTATTTTGATTTCACAGATGGGACTTTGAACTTTGGACTTTTGAGTTGAAACAGGTTAAGAGTTTGGGGATGGAATGATTGTATTTACTTGTGAGGACATAAACTCTGGGGGACAGGGGCAGAATGATATAGATCGAATTGTGTTCCCCAGATTTATGTATGAGAAGTTTGATCCCCACTGTGACAACAGAAACTTATTCTCTTATAGTTCTGGAGGCCTGTGCTCCAGAAATCAAAAATGGATCTGTAGGGCTGTGCTCCCTCTGGAGGCTGCAGCGGGGAGTGGGTTTCCTTGCTTTTTCTAGTTTCTAGAGTCTTCGTACATCCTTTGGCTCATGGCTTTCTTTCTCTGCCTTCTAAGCCAGCTGCATAGCATCTTCAAGTATCTTTCTTCTGTCTCCCTTGACCCTCTTGCCTCCCTCTTATAAGGACCCTTGAGATCATATTTAGGGTCCACCCAGATAACCCAGGATAATCTGCCCATCTCAAGATTCTCAGTCATATCTGCAAAGCCCTTTTACTATAGAAGGTAACATTCATAGGCGCCAGGGATTGGGGCATGGATATCACTGGGAGGTCATTACTTAGCCTCACCCTTTTCTTTATAAATTTTCAAAATTTTATCTGAGCCTGGTGAGTGAGTCCATTACCATTAGGGTCCAGCTTAGCAGCAAGTAAGTACAGTCCAATAAACAGCCTGCAGTATCTATGTTGGATATGACTAGTGGTGGTTTGAAATATATGTAGAATTTAAATACATGAAAATGATAGAACAGAAGACAGAAAATTCTGACTCCATTTACTTCCTTTCTATGGGCTTTGCATTGTTGAGGAAATGATCATTGTTAATAAGATGGTAATATGTTAAGGATCATGTTATCTTTAAAGGAACAATAAAAGAATGTGTAACAAATAATCTAATTAAAGGAAATAGAAGAAAATAACATAATTAATAATTATTAAATATTCACAGACCATTCCAATTTAAAGACAAAGATTGATATATGGCCATGTTTGCCAAATGGTAGGTCAAGGGGCCCTGGAGGCCTCAGCAAGCTCACAAGATTTTAAATTTTTACTGGAAACAGCAATATTTGACATCTCTCAGATTCTGTATAAACAACAAACTACTAGCTCTTAGTTGCTCCCAGCTCCAACGTTAGATCACACTCGGTTCCTCTTGATGACACCGAATTTTGGAAAGCAGCATTTTCATCAGTTGTTGTGATAAAGAAAAAGTACCACCTGAAAATTAATGTGGGATAGGAATGAAGTGGCAGTTTTCAATCTGACTCCAAGGTCTGAGAAGTTGCGTAGTACACAACATCCCATTTTTAAGTAATTGTGATGCACATAGACTTATTAAGTTGTTTGAACCTACTTATTTAATACAACTGTTAAGTATTTCTTCTAGGCTAGGAATGCTGTGAAAAGATTACTGAGACTCTAATGGCACTTAAAACTGAGTAAGTTTGGGAACTTCTGTCATAAATGAATTAGAAATAAAAACTATGATGCATACAGAAGAGACAGTATATGTGTTCAGAGACAGAATAGAAGAATATGAAAGGATGGAAAACATACCATGCAAAAAAAAATATATAGCTAGTTTGGCAAATGTGGCATTATGACAGTCTTTGTCTTTAAATTATCATTGTGTGTTTACAGTAGTTCCCCTTATCTGTGTTTTCTCTTCCTTAATTTCGGTTACATGTGGTCAACTGTGGTCCAAAAGTTCCAGAAATAAACAATTTATGTTTTAAATTGCATGCCCTTTCGAGTTGTGTGATGAAATCTCACACCTTCCTGCTTCGTTCAGCCCAGGACATGAAGCAACCCTTTGTCAAGTGGATCCACACCATCCATACTACTCACCCGTCAGTCACTCAGCAGCTGTCTGGGTTATCAGATCGATAACCCAGACGTGTCACGGTCTTGCAGTGTTTGTATTCAAGTAACCATTTTTACTAAATAATGGCCCCAACGTGCAAGAGTAGTGATGTTGGCAATTGGATATGCCAAAGAGAAGTAGGAAAGTGCTTCCTTTCAATAAAAAAGTAAAAGTTCTCAACTTAATAGGGAAAGAAAAAAATCATATGCTGAAGTTGCTAAGATCTATGATAAGATTTATCAGTGAAATTATAAACAAGGAAAAATAAATCTGTGCTAGTTTTGCTGTCACACCTCAAACTGCAATAGTTACATGGTAAGTGCTAAGTTAAGATGAAAAAGGCATTAAATTTGTGCATGAAAGACATGAACAGACACCCATTCTGATTGGCAATTGGGTCTGGTACTATCTGTGGTTTCAGGCCTCCACTGTGGGTCTTAGAACATATCCCCCAAAAGTAAGGAGGGACTACTGTGTATGTTTAAAATAATTATTTCTATATGGGGGATTAAGTCTGTCATCTTATCTGTTTTTTATTTGTCCCACAAAAAATAGACAAAGTAGAATTTGAGGCAAGATTTATTACTAGAGAGATCTTATTATAATAAAAGGGTTGATCTACCACAAAATAGAGCAATTTAAATTTTTACGAATGTAATAACATAACCTCATAATATATAAAAGATGGACAGAATTAGAAGAGAAAAAGACAAATGTACAATAAAATGGAATAATTGAACACAACTTTTTAAGTATCTGATAGAATAAGCAGACCTCCAAAAAAATCGGTATCTGGAAGATCTGAACGAATATAATTAACAGATTGGACCTCACTGACATATCCACAGCACTGCACCACTACCACAGTAGATACATTTTTTACATGGACACATGCTACAGTTACAGCAGTTGACCATGTGATGAGTCATAAAATGTCTCAATCAATTTGAAAAATTAATAATAAATATACAGCTGAAAAAAGCCCTCAAACATTACTTAATTATGCAAAACATTTCTAAATAAGACATGGGTCAATAAGGAAATCACATAGCAATTATCAAATATTTTGAACTGAAAAAAAAGGAAATATGGCACATCAGAACTTATGGAATGCAACTAAATCTGTGCTTAGAATAAAAATAGTCTAACATGCTTATTTTGGAAACTATAACAAGCTGAAAATTGTTAAACTCTCGGTAATCATCTCAAGAAATTTATTTTTTTTTAAAAAAGAGCAGCAAATAAACATGAAGAAAATAGCAGTAAAGAAAACAAAAATGAGAACAGAATCAACAGAGCCAAAAGTTGGTTTTTTGACATCTAATAAAATTCTCTGGCCTCAGTTTACCCTCCAAAATTTGAACTATATAGTGGGGGAGATGGGGAATCACAGAAATAAAAACAAAACCAAAAAAAAAGAAGAGATTTCTAAAATTAAGGTAAAATGACATTTTTCCAACAGATATGTTTCTTGATTACAGAGTTTGACTCTAAATGGTGTCTTTATTGCTTTAACTTAAGTCTACTAGGCCTTAAAGGGAGGTAGCTGAGTTTAGAACAAGAATTTAACTTCAGATATGTATCAGAAAACATACGCTTTGGGGCCGGCCCCGTGGCGCACTCGGGAGAGTGTGGCGCTTGGGAGCGCAGTGGCGCTCTTGCCGCGGGTTCGGATCCTATATGGGGATGGCCGGTGCACTCACTGGCTGAGCGCGGTGCGGGTGACATCGTTCCGAGGGTTGCCATCCCCTTACCGGTCACAAAAAAAAAAACAAAAAGAAAACATACGCTTTCATAGTGTGAAGTGTAGCTTCCGTTGCTGAGCTCTGTCCAGCTTCTCCTTGTGCTGAAATGATTGGCTTGGCAACAGACTTCCAACACTGGTGACTGCTACTGAGGGCCAAAGCGACTAGGCTCACACACCTAGATTTGGGTGTACAACTGAGAGGGGAGAGGGATGAAGAAATGCAAGGAGAGTGCATTTTAGTACACGAGAGAATGATAAATGAGGACGGATATATGAAGGCCAAGCACGGGTGCTTCCTGATCAGCTAAAATTTGAAGCTGTAAATTAGGAGCTTCTTCTCAGTGAAAGACTGTATATGCATATAGCTTAATTGCCTTTAAAACAGCAGTGGCATTTTAATGGGCAGATGCTGATTTTTATTTATTTATTTTTTAAAAAGAGCTCATTTCTAAGGTACCTATTAAAGGAGTTAATCCTTTTGCTATTATCAGGGTGTTCTCTTACTATTTTGACCACACCTGTGAAATATATTGGTGAGAAAGAGAAAGCGAGTAGAGGTTTCTCTGTTAACTGTGACGTTGCTGTGCTCTGTATCTCCAGGTCAATGCAAGGCCCCTGAAATGTTTTCATTTGCCAAGCCTGTTAACCCATCTGATAAGTCCGAGTTTCCCATTGGGACATCTTTGAAGTATGAATGCCGCCCAGGTTACAGAGGCAAACCATTCTTTATCACCTGCCAAGAAAACTCGGTCTGGACAAACACTGATGACAAGTGTAGACGTAAGTAACTCTGGACTGGAGACTCTTATGTGTCAGTCAAAGATCTGATTCAATTTGTTCAAATTCTGGAATTAAGAAATGTATGACAATAAGTTTGCCCCAGGTACAGCACATGTGAGTTCCTGGAATCTTCATTACAAGTTCATTGCATGAGAAATGACCATCATAAGAAATGAATGAACAAAAATACCCATTCCCTAGGGGTTTGCCATTTTTATGACTAAAATTAAGTAATGAATGGCTCAGGACAGGAAATAGAAGTGTATTGAGTAACTAGGATATGAGAAATCCCAGGCTTTGAGACCTTTATATCATACTGGTTGAATTAGAGAATATAACATTTTGGTAATAAATAAAGTTTACATTTTTCTTGGAGGCAAAATGTGGGGATGAGACAGATCAGGAGGGGAGGGTTTTTTGAAAGTGAAAGTTTTAACTGCTACAGAGGTTTTCCTGACATATCCAGTCTGCAAAGACTGGTGTAGGTGCCTACTTCTTCAAATTTGCAGACACCAACAGCACTATTCTTATAGTAAGTGGCTGATCCTGAGGCACTCTGGTAAATTTCCTCAAAGTAAATTTCCAAAATCTGTAGAACTATCAAAACTATGTGCTCTTTAGTAAGGTACAGGCAGCTTGGGATCTTATGTACTAAGAAACATTCAGATTACTCTACCTGGCTCCAAAATTCTGGTTTTTTTTCCCCATAGGTAAATCATGTAGTAATCCTGCAGAGCCTATAAATGGCCTGGTGCATGTAGACACAGACATCCAGTTTGGATCAAGAATTAATTATACCTGTAATAAAGGGTAAGTTGACAGCAACATTGCTTGGTTTGAAAGTGTGAGATCAGCAATACTACCTTCTAGTCAAATCTCACAAAGGACCTGACTGGTTTTAAAAGGCTTGAACTGAGGGGTTTAACTCCTGATCGAAATGAACAGAGGTATGATAAGATTAGGGGAATTAAGATTCTTGCATTCATCAGGTGGGAAGGAAGAAAATGAGAGAGGACATAGTCAAAGCTCACAAACAACCCTAACCCAGGGTAGACAGTGCAGAAGAAAGAGAGGGCCCTGGAGGAGTTGTGTGAGAGAACAAATCTTAACGGTAACAACACTATTGGTTTACTAGGGCTGCTGTAACAAAGCACTGCAAACTGGGTGGCTTAAAACTACAGAAGTTTACTCTCTCAAAATTCTGGAAACTAGAAGTTCAAAATCAAGGTGTTGGCAGGACCAGGCTTCCTCCAAATCCTCGAGGGGAGGATCCTTCCTTTTCTCTTCCATTGTCTGGTAGCTGCAGGACTTCCTTGGTATGCAGCAACATAACTCCAATTTCTGTCTCTGTCTTCACATGGCAGTCTTCCCTCTGTGTCTTTGCATAGCTTCTCCTCTCTGTGCATGTCTATGTCCAAAGTTCTCTCTTTTTATAAGGACAACAGCCACTGGATTAAAGCCCAAGCTTATGACCTCATCTGAACTTGATCACATCCACAAAGACTCTACTTCCAAATAAAGTCACATTGATAGGGACTGGTGGTTAAGACTTCAAAATACCTTTTTGGGGGCACACAATTCAATCCATAATAGAGCCCTCTTTGAAAATGTCAAGCAGAAAGTGCTACAGAGCAGTTGTCCCACTGTTGGTGCTTACCTTTGCTCAGCACAGAGTGGAGGGCCTGCCTCAACCTCTCTCCTAATGTGAGCAGCTAAGCCAGTTAGAGAATTGTGCTGCCACATAGGCAATCAAATAAAAGTTGGTAAATTACATGTCAGAAAACTTAAAAACTAAGTGCTTCAAAAGAAACTATCAAGAAAGTGCAAAGACAACCCAGACAATAGAAATTATTTGCAAATTATGGATCTTATAAGGATCTCATATCCATAATATATAAAGAGCTGTTACAACTCAACAATAAAAAGACAAATAAATCAATTTAAAAATGGGTGAAGGATTGAATAGACATTTTCCCAAAGAAAATATACAAATGTGACACATGGCAGATAGTAATGTCACCAAGATGGCAGAATAGATTATCTCAGCAATGCTCCCCTCACAGCAAGAGATCAATTTACAACTGTTAAAACATAAAAACAGTAATCTTGTAATCACTGCAACTTGGAGTAAGAGTCAGAGAGACCTGCTGAGTTACGAATGTGTGGAAACCAGCAGCAAGCTGGAGGAGGGATGACCCTGATCATACCCAGCCCCAGCCATTCCCTAGGCCAGCATTGCATAGCACATGGAGCAGCTACCTGGAGATGGCAAAGCTGCAGCAGCACCCTTTGCATGGAGCTACTTGGAGTCTGCAGATGTGAAGGGTGACATGACCACTAGCAAAAAAAAAAGAAACGAAAAAAGGAAGAGAAGAAAAAGTAAATCACATCAGAGTGCATTATC